CAACTTTTTGAGGTATGAATGAGATGTATTAATTCCCAAGTTGAGTGACTGCCCAGCTACACTGTACAAGTAGTAATCCTTTGCAAGTCTTTAAGAACATGCACCACATTTATACAATAGCAAATATGCATATTAATCCCTCAAGTCAGGAATTGCCCTAGGGAGTTACATTACCCAAATTTGAAATTAATAGAGGCATTGTTAAGGTAATGCTAAATATCATGTTTCAATAATATACTACTGTTTGTACATAATGCATGTATACACATATTCAAACACAAAGTAAAGCACCTGTAAGAATCAATTCATTACATCATTTAATTGACTGTTAGATAAAGACATTAGCAATTAGAAAGTTACTTCTTCAAAAGAAATGTGTGTGTATATACATACAATGTTGGTCCTGGAGTCAACAGCTTCTAAATGTTTAATGTTACTTCTCTTTTAAACTTAACTCTCATGTTTGAATACATTCAAAGTTTTTATCCAAATAGATGTACTAATGGTGCCTAATGTTTCATTCTGTGAACTCAACATAATGTGCAAGTTTGATTACCAGTGGTAATTGTCTGGTAGATTTAAATCAAAAAATAAAAGTACAGACAAAATGTTTTTAGTTCAATAAAATGCATATGCACAAAATTGAAGTACTACAGCCAATTCCTCTAAGCTTTTATTGAACCCCTTCATGTCAAAGGTCAATCCTATTTTTACTTAGTTTATTTCTTACATGTTAGTTTTTTTGTTTGTTTATAGTTAAGCATAATGCTACACAATGGGATATCTGTGCTCTGCCCACCACAGGTATGGAAACAGTTTTTAGCATTACAATCCTTCAGACTTGCAACTGAGCAACTAAGGGGGCTATATGTTACTTGTCATATAAAGAAGTATAACTGTGGTAATACAACTACATATTCTTATCAATTATTGAAATACAAGAATAGAGGTAGTAAACAATTTTATTTGTCTTTTATTCTGGGGGGGTGTACAACTATAAATTATTAAATTGCTTCTAAAATCTAAATGTAGCCAAAGCCTACATGTCAAGTTATATATTGTTCCTTGTCCAGAACATAACACTTTTTATCTAAGGAAAAGGATTACTTTTAAGATATGTTGAATGATTATAATAATAAAATACTAAACTAAAACCTTTTTATTCAAATACAATAAAAAGCTTCAGATTACATAAATTCCAAGACAAACACTCATAATTCATAAAAGTATCACTTACTATTATAACTTGTCACAATTAAAAAATATACAGTAAAAGGTCTAGTTACCATATTTCAGACCAAACAAATATTTTTTTTTCTACAAAAGTTAATTTTTTATATATCAAGACAGTGTATTTCAAATACTCTTATTGTATTAGATCATTAAAATAATCCATTGATAAGATAAATTCAGTCAATAATGAAACTTTACAGGTGCAAATATGTAACCTTTTACACCATCTCACATTAATGTATGCCTTTTCATTATACATAATGTCATTAATCTTTAAAGAATAAACTTTTTTTTGTTTAAATTATCAGGTCAAAACTATATATAATCAGTTCCAAAATAATGTCTTGGAATCTTAAAAGCAGGGTTATAGGTTTTGGTCAAATGTATTGCCTAATTTTAGCTAAACCATTACATTTTGCCTTTTTCTTATGTCACTGAAAATCTCCAAAATTTCACATAAGTTACATATATTTGTCTTTAATAATTTTGAAATATTAATTATAACTCTTTGACCTGACATATATATACATACATATATACACACACACACTTCCAAATGACATAATTTTGGAAATATTTTTCCTTAGTGTAAGCCAAACCTTCAAAAAAACAGTCAATTTTAAACTAGCATTCAATACACCTCATTTGCCATAATCCACAGTGTGGTTTATACATTCTACAATAAACAATGTTTCTAAATACAATTGGTTTAAAATGAGAGGTTGGTAGGTTGGTGACCTACATTGTAGATTTGTTGTATGATTTTCTGTCACACTTGTGTTTTAAGGCTCACTGATTAGAACTGGTTAGCTATATATCCTAACTTCATTTTATGCAATTTTTCTTTCTTTTATATTTAACTGCAAATTGAATGGACCTTGCTTTTTCCAATCAGAAAACAGGTTTAGACTTAAGTAAGGAATAAAGAAACAGTGTATTAATGACAAAGTTTGTAAGCACCAATAGATATACATAATGTTATTACTGGTTACAACAAAATTGCCATTTTACAGTTTTCTAGGATTAAAACTACTGCTTAAAATAATGTATTAACTAGTTAAAACATTTTTCTTATTCTCTACTGTTGAAATATTTTATCATAAGCTTTGTGTTTAAACTGACATGTTTGAAAGGTCAGTCCAAACATAATACTTGAATTGATTTTAGGTAAACAGGAACTTAATTTAAACATGGTTAACATTTACAGTCTATAATATACAGTTAGTTACTGTTCTTGCTTCAGCAATTACTTCTAGAAATACAAAGAATTTGCTCTGTTTATAATATTTCTACTACGGTATTATTTATTTATTATTTAAAGTCTTAATTTTATGTACATTAAACTGTCATTACACACCTAACAAGACAACCCAATGTAGCAGCCATGATTAGCATCAGTATTACTAGATTATTCTTATGTTAAAAAAATATTGCATCTACTTTAAATAACAACACAACATATCAGCAACACTTTACAATTACCTATTAAACTGTTAGAATGATAATTTTGGAAGTAGTTACCTGAATGAAGGTGATCATCATTGCAAAAATACAAACCCTGAAAACCTAAAAGTATGCTTATTTTTGGACAGACACCCCCCTCTTACTAGATGTTACTAATTTATGAAATAATTATTTAAGAATTTGACATTCACCATTAACCTGAGCTCTTTCAAATCTATGTTAGTTGCTTATGAATACGAAAGTTTACCTTGGTGAAAGGAAGGAAGGATGGTCAAAAAGTGAATCACTGGGTTTCTGTCATTTACATGTTTATATTCAGAAGTTCTTATAAACAACCACATCCAAACACTTTTTCTCCCTCTACAACCTAATATGATTCTCAAAAAAGTTAAATGATTTTTTATGAATCCTTTTACTCTTAAATAAATATGTTAATATTAAAAACACATTTACTCACTTAAGTTAACCAGACCTTCCTACCACAAAAAAAACATTCTCAGGATAAACTCTACTCATCATATTCGTATTACCAACATATTTTGACACAATATATGGGACAATGGTATTCATATAAATACTGAATGACAAGCTCAAGAAAAAGCAAGACAATACAAAGTCATTAAACATATTGAAATTTAACCCACAAAAATAATTAACCATGTAACTAAGTTTAATGAACTAAATTGCAAAATTAAATTGTTTATATTGATTATCGTATGAACAACAAGAGATCATTTGGTCCTTCAACCGTTGTTCCTGCACACTCATCTATTAAAAAAACTTAACTTAAACTACCATTTATTTTTAAGGAAATTATCCATTCCCCTTCTAAACTCTGTTAAACTGCCAACCCCCACTACTACTGATGGAATCTGGTTTTATGAACCAATCACTCTGATAGTTAAAACTATCTCAATTGAAGCTCAGCCTGTCCCTTTCAAACCTTAAACCTGTGTCCTATTATCTTCAGAATATAGCATAAAGAAATCTGAGACCTTTATCCATTTGATCTCTTTGGACAATATTATAAACTTTACTATGGTCACCTTTTACCCTTCTTTTCTCAAAAGAAAATAAGTTGAGATCTTAACCTATCCCTAAAAAATAACCCTTTTATCCCTGGAATCATCCTACTAACTCTCCTCTGAACCCTATCCAATAAGTTAATATTATTTATTAGAAAAGGAGACCCAAACTGTACACTATATTCCAAGTAAAGTCTAACTAGTGATTTTTTTTATAAAACTTTGACTTCTTTTGATTGTAATGAATATATTTACAAATGCACCTTAAAATGATATTAGCTTTGCTACTAGTAACAAAGCATTGCTTTTAATGGCTTGAGTGACTGATCCACCATTATGCAAAGATAATTTTCTTCAGTCACATTAAGTTGGTTCCCTTCTATATTAAAGATGGATGTAAAACATGATAACCAAAATGTATTATCTTACACTTAATATTATTAAACTTATAGGTCATTTACAACATATTTGTCAACTATCCAATTGATCCAAGTTATCCTGTAGTACCTCAATATTTTCAATACAGCCAGACATACTCAAGAATGTAATTTCATCCACAAATTGTACTTATTTACTAATTATGACCCTACAATATCATCAATGATATCTAATGATAAGAAGCACATCTGTTCAGTTCTCATACACAGTTTTTTAATCAACAGTCTACTATTTAACTATTTTCTGAAGAAAGTGTGAAGCTAACAAAGTTTCAGTGTGACTGAGTATGTACCTGTGGATGCCATACTCAACTACGACTATTAGTAATAGTACAAGTAGTTGATATTGTGGTATCTACCTAATTCTAATCTACTCTACAAATATTTTGTGTTAATGAGTAACAAAACATTTTGGTCAAAAACTTATGTTAATAGTAGTACACCTTCCACTACAAGTGTCAACTATACCTTAAGTTAAAACACAAAGATTATTCGTACAACTACTTAACTAGTCTATCCACATCGCAATTTACCTTACATAAAAGTTACAGTAATAATAATAACAATTATATTATTATTATTGACAATTTTGAACGTATAACTATAAGTTAATAGTGCAAGTTATAACTAGAAACTAAGACAGCCGACATGCTAACTTTGTAAAAACAGGTTTTATACATTATTAAATAAAATGTTGTCTTCCTTACATTATAACTTAAGTTACAGGTATTCCTTACAAATTACAATCACATTTATAAGTTACAGAAGCGAAAGTGCTCCAAATTATACAATTTAATAAAAATTATCAAAGTGGGCTAAAATGTTATTATTTTAGGCCTACTTGGTGGTTCTTCATCCAAAATATCGTCATCTTCACTAGCTCCTGCATCGTTCTCAAATTCTACATTTTTTGTACCATTTTGTTGTCTTTCAGTACGAAGTTTTGTGAAGTAATTAACGGCATAATTCACGATATCTACTGGCCTCTCTACAAGCACATTTACTGTAAACTCTAGAAGAATGTTAGTCAACTCTGGAGGAACAGATATTCTGTTGGTCTGACTCATTTTTGAAATTAAACGTTTGCGGCCTTTTCACGAGAAAATTCTATACTAATCCATTTAAAAATTCTACAAATTTACACAAAACTTAGTTTGTGTTTAAAACGAAGGTAACACGTTTCCAGTACGCTAGTCTCCCAAGTGCTAACGCAGAACACATGCATCCAACGTGCCGTCTGCTAGAATTAGAATTAATGTTACCTTTATAACACAGGACATGCCCACGTAAACGTCAAGATTTCGAAGCAAAACGCCATCAAACGGGAAGAAATGAAGTTAAAACAACTTTACATTCGAAATAAAAAGTTATTTGTATATTTTTCATACGTATAAATCTCTTAACCGAATGGAATGAAAAGAGTCGACGTAAAACAAATATTATTGGTCTGAAATTAATTATAATATATATATATATATATATGTGAGTGTATGGATAAATAAATAGGTTAGTATATGTGGCATGATTTTATTGGTAATATAAACTGTAATTTCATTATACTCTTTCCATTACTTGTTTTTAGTGGAATAAATATTTTTGTTTGAAAATGAAATTTATTAATTAGATTTTTTTAAAGTAATGACAGTTCTAAGGATTATGTAAACCTGTATATGATACATGCATTTCTTCAATATATGTATATTAATATATACATGCCTCCAGTAGCACAGCGGCATGTCTGCGGACTTACAACGCTAGAAACCGGCTTTCGATACCCGTGGTGGGCAGAGCATTGTGTAGCTTTGTGTTTAACTTCAAACTAACTAACAATATATATGAGAAATAACTTGTGTTTAAAAATAATAACAGTTACTCTTTTTTCCAAGGTGAAAGCTTATACCAGAATAATTAAATTCAAATGAGAAATTTATTTATGCGAATATTACAATAAATAACCGTAAAAATAAGTAATTAATTAAATTCTGAGGTTAATGTTTATCACCCTGATTCCATGGGGAATCTAGAAAAATAAAATATTAATATTAGAAAGTAATTTGTTAATCAATATATAAGATTTATGTCAAGCTGTTATATATGTACTGTAACGGATTAAAACAAAACGCCTCCACAACCACGGTCAAATATAAAACAATTTATTAAACTGTAACAACAACAGAAATCCAAAATAAAACATTCAAAAAATTCGAAAACAAATTTTATCACTTACAAAAAAAGAAATAATAATAAGAAGTTAGTAAATCCATGCCTGGGCAGGACTTGATTCAAACGTTAATAAACAAAACAACATAAATATCAATGTTATTAATTTCAATAAATAAAGGAATTAAGAAAAAGAACCAGAAGCAGAAGAAAAACCTAATTCTGAAAAAAAACACAATATTTCAAAATTAAACCACTTCAAGATCACTAACAATATCGGACAACAATCACTAATAATTCGTTCTGTCTATATCTCGTGGAATGGCACATTCAAAGTCAACGAAGGGTTTTATTTAATGGTTAGACCATGATGTTACATCTCCTATGACTAGTCAATTTTCATAATTTCTCACAACATTAGTATCTCTACGTCACTGCTAGGGGAAGCTTGTGTCGGTGTCATAATACAAACATACTCAAATTCAACGTGCTCTAGGTAGAAGGTTAGTTAGCACTTTAACAAAACTAAGTATTCATAGTTGAACTAAAGGATGGAAGGAATAATAAATGAACGGTAAACAAAACCGTAACAAAATAAAAGTAGAATTCGTTATCTCACAGTACTTCTGTTACGTATTAGAATTTCAAATGGTCTGAAATTGAGTTAACTGATAATCTAAATTCAGTAGTTAAATTGTACTTTGGATTTAGTATTTAAATTAAAGCCGATATATAGCCAGTTTATGATATTTGCCAACAAGATTGATACAGACAGTTTTCTTTTTTAACACAAATACGTTTTAATATACACACAACAATACAATTTACAATAACAGTTATTACAAACAATGATTTATAAATAAAAGTTTCACAAATTTACAAGCAATATAAAATCTTCTTTCTAGTCTGGAACTTCCTTCATATCTTATCGAGGGTTCACGATGAGCGAGTTAATTTCGAGTTGACGTAGGCACAATTTACTTAACTAACAGGAAGCTAGCTAGCCCTGTAGTTCATACGCCTATTAGAGATTGAGTTCCACCAATGACGTTAGGTAATGTTTTCGTAAAAGTATTAATGTCCGATGTAAATCCACTGAAGTTAAATGGTTTGTAATGTTCGAAGGTTATAAATATTCCCGGTCAAATATCTGAAGTTTTCCGATTGATAAGCGTTATAACAATCACAGTTACAGCTTCCGAAGTTTATAGCACACTGACTATGGCAAATTAATGATAGATACTCTCTTTTTCGGCGCGGCGCGTTGGTTATATTTATAGGCGTGTGGAAGCGTTCTAGAAATTTCAGTTCTACGTAACAATATTGAGCTACGTTTATGCATATGCATATATTGTTGATTCTTACTCTCGAGAATCTTCTACAACTTTGGAGTTTCACAATACATATTTAACACTATAAGCTACGCATGCTTTAAAATATAAACTTAATCTAAACGAGCGTTGATATTAAAATAAATATATATATAATGACAAATTCGTTACACTTTCAATGATGATTGTAACTCTGTCATTATGAAACTTAGAAGTAAAAACCTGTCAAATGAAATATCGTTTTATCTCTTTAAATTACATTATATCGCGTTCTTGCCGAGTAATTTATCATCTTATTTTAAAGACCCTTGCAATGGGATGCTTTTTGAATTCTGCACAAAGCTGTTTGAGGGATGTCTGCACTAGCAACCTTTAGTTTTAAAGTGATAGATTATATGGAAGACAGGTAGTCAACAACCCCCATTGCCATCCTTGGGCTGCTCTTTACCGTCATATTATAGCACCCTCACGGCTGAAAATACGAGCATGTTCGGAGATGAGATTGGAACCCCTTCCCTAACCACAAGGCCATACCAGGCTATCACCCACTGACAATATTAACACACATATTAATTCTTTTTGTCTAAAACTACAACTATTTTTCAGCTATATGCTGTAAAGAACGATCTTTAAGTCAGAAAGTCCACTATGTTTGATATCCTTAAGCCAACATTTTCTGTTTCTACGATTCTTACTATCATAAAATTTAAAATTCAAAACTTGCTGTATTCATTTGATATCATTTGTGCTGTTGCATATATTAGAGGTGTTTTATGAGTGTATTTTCCCTTTTATTTTCACATATTTTTTATTAGATCATTTCACTACTCTAACCATGCCTACCATTTCAAGACGTGGGACTTCCTGAAAAAAAAATCGTATAGATGTCATAATTTTAAAAGGACATGAAATATCACTTAAGAATGTACAGTTTGACTTTTAAATTTCTGGCTATCAGGTGATGATAGTTAGGGAAACTTTAATTATACCCCCCCCCCCTTCATTTTCATTTATGCACTTTAGTTTCCCCAGCATTCCTTGTTTATATCTTGTTTATTTTCTCACGTGTATTGTTTATTTATACTATTGCAACTTGACAACCAAGAGTGTTTTTCTAGTTAAGAAGTACATGTTTATAAAAGCCATTAGGAAAAATAATAACTGTTATGGTGAGAACGCACTTTTAAAGTTGGCGAAACGTGATTATAATCAACTATATTTGTCATAAAATAATAAATAGTCTTCAGGCCCGTACACAGAATGTTTGAAAGGGGGGTTATAATTTATGAGATCAAAAACCAACACATACTGTGCGAAGCACAATCAGCGTGCAAAGCATGCGAAAGCTACGGAGGTCTTGGGGAATGCTCCCCCCCCCCGAAAATATGTAAAATATAGGTGTTATGAGATTAAATATTGAAACAATTTTGCATGAAATATGGCTGAAACAATTGCATGGCTGTTCATATAAAATCAACAAATCATCATTCTGTTATAACACTGCATGGGAAGGTACGCTTAAATTAGTATAAATATGTATGTTTTATTATAGTAAAGTACTTTACTATGTACATGCAGAGTAGTTATTAATTGTTAAATTATATTACCAACTTAAACAACTCTGTACAACAATAATATATTAGTTACTAGCTGGAGTACTCGTCAGTCGGATGGGTGAAATAAAAATCGTTTGTAACAAAGGATAGACTCGGCATGGCCAGGTGGTTAGGGCGCCCGACTCATAATCTGAGGGTCATGGTTCGAATCCCCGTCACACCAAACATACCAACCTTTGCCTGGTCTCAAGTCCAGGTTGGGCGCGGAGCTAGCAACTCCACCCCGTAAAAACCAACCTGCTACAAGTAACTGCAACAACACCTTCCGTTGGCGAGGTGTTGTTGCGGCCCTATTCTTCATTTGGAGTTTACAGGAATAGAAAAAAGGATAAGAAATTGTGCTTCTATTATTATTTTTTTGACATAATAAACATTAAAATACAATAAGAATACATTGTAGCACCAATGCTGAAAAGAAAGATATACCGTTTTCAAGAATTCTATGAACGTGAAATTATATGGCTTCCTTATGTCACCCTGTATCACTGTGTCAACTTGTGTAGATTTGGTAGTTTTGTTTCCTAAATTATATACGAAATTAGATGGGAGGGGTGTCCAAACTCTCCCCCTTATGACCTTCCTCATGTCATCCTGTATCACTGTGTCAAGTTGTGTAGATTTGGTAGTTTTGTTTCCTAAATTATATACGAAATTTGATGGGACGGGTGTCTAAACTCTCCACCTTATGACCTTCCTCATGTCATCCTGTATGACTGTGTCAAGTTGGGCACTGATTGATCAAGAAATGTGGAAACGTATAAGAAACAGATACACACACGTATTGACGTTGTTTATATAGAAAATGGGGTCCAACCCCGACTTCTTCATAACCTTCCTCATGTCATTCTATATCGTTGTGTCAAGTTTGGTGTTCATTGGTCAAGAAATGTGGAAACATATAAGGAACAGATGGCTGAAAGGTGCGAACAAACAGACACAAACTTAGCTTTATATATTAGATAATTGCGCAGTAATATATTTATCAAATACACAGCTTTTGACCACTATTAATACTGTTAACCTTTATTTCTAATAAACCGTCGATATGATGACAAAAACTACTAATACCAACACATAAGCAGAAGTGCCGGTATCGTGTATATTGATTCAGCAACAATAACACAAATTTCTTTGTCATATATTCTTGCAACAACACAACAATGAATATTGTTTGTGTAATATAAACACAAATTAGGAATGTACAGACAAACGATACTTCATACATGTATTGAAGAGTGACTAGTTTAGTGTTTGTGCACTCTTTCTTTAACGTACAAGAATTAAGGGATCTCCTTTGAAAGGATGACAATAAAATATAAATTCAAATGATATAAAATAAAAATATTTTTGCGATAACGCAGATTAAGATTTTTAACATTCTATTAACGTATTAAATGTGATTTAAAGCGAAACTGCTTAATTAAGAACACTGAGCTTATATAGGCTGTAGTGCGCATAAGTCAGTCATTGTGAAAGAAGTTAAATATGTGGTGTCATCGGTTTATTTTGGCATTAAACAATTCGAAATAATTTCCGCTAACATGTATATTGCTTTTTAAAGATAAAAAAACATATGACGATTACATTTTCGGTGTTTATCAATGACAAACTATCCGAGTAGGCTTAGAACTAATACAATACTAGATCTAATAATGTTAATATTAATACTGAACCCCTAAGTAATTGGACTGGGCTGTAGTAATTACTACTAGTAATACTAGACTTGAGAAAAATATAGCGCTGATTGTGAATTCATGATACTCAGAAAATACATACATTAAAAAAAAATACCATGACATGAGCAATGCTACTTTGATTTTGTGGGAGACTACAGCTCAGACACTAGTTTCCCTCAGACTTCTTTCCAATCATAGACATTTTATATAATAGCGACTTAATTTGGCGCAAAGAAAAGACTAAAAAAATCGACATTTTGACAAATTATGAACAAATTATTCTGCGGTGTACCATAGTGACAGACATAAGGTTACAGATCTCCCAGTAAATTTGGGATCGTACCAGTTTCTAGCTTTTTTTATTAAAATTTCTCAGTTTCTCTATACCTCAGTGTGAGTATAACATGTACGGTTTGTCAATACATATGACTCCTTTAAATTTTACTTAGAAAATCACTTGACAAAAACAGATAACATGGTACAAGATTAGTTTATATTATATTCATTAACTAGATGAGCTTTTAACAAACTTAGTTTCTCTGTAGTTTTAAAATGCGATACAATAAACATCAGATTATTTTGAAAATGTTTAAAAAATGTGTTATTGTAATTTAAACTAATACAGTATCACTCTAACAATATCCTAATTTTCACTGAAAATTTGGTAACTAAACAAATATTATATTACAAGAGACCTAACATGTGAAATATTATCAGTTTAACAGTGCACAATCGAAAAATCCAGAATGAAAGATCTTGATAAATGTTGCATATATACTCATTAAATGTTTAAAAAGAAATCCAGAAAAAAAATCGTGATCAATGTTGCATATAAAGTCATTAAAGTTTTCAGAAAACAAGCCTGTTTCTGAGGGTCGTAGATTCAAAACCCCGTCACCGAATATACTCACTCTTTCAGCCGTGGGGGCTTTATAATGTGTTCGTTGGTAAAAAGAGTGTCCCAAGAGATGGCGCTGTTGACTAGCTGCCTTCCCTCTACTCTATCACTGCTAAATTAAGGTAAAACAAGAACATGAAGACCTAATTCTAAACTTCAGAATGTTCAGTATATCTGAGTCCTGTTTGTGGTTGAAAGTCTTTAGGCGCTACACATAAATTACTAATATATACTTTTTCTAGTTAATACGTTCAGTTTTCTTTTTTAAATAGACGTTATAGAAATCATTTCAATATTAAATCAGTCAAAGCATTCACGAAAAAGGCATGTGCTGTTGTCAAACAGGATTTTAGGTTGTATGTATAGAAATGTTGAATATAAGTCTTAATGGGTTATAAATTTATTGTATAAGTCAGTGGTTAGACCACATTTGGAATATTGTGTTCATACTTATGTGCCTTATCTCAGGAAGGACATCGGATTATTGGGAAGGGTTCAGAGGAGGGCTATTACGATGACATCTGGAATGGAAAGGTTGCCATAAAAGAACAGGTTAAGATATTTGAAATTGTTTTTTCTTGAAGAAAAGGAGAGTTAGAGGGAATCTGATAGAAGAGTTTAAGATTTTTAAGAGAATCGATAGTGTTGATGCATCATCTTTTTCCATACTTAATGGTGAGAATGGTAGGACGAGGGAACGCAAATATAAATTTTGGTAGTGTAAGAGTAATCTGTAGCTAAGACAGCTATATTTTTCGAATAGGGTAGTTGATCTCTGGAATGAGTTACCTTCAAATGTGATAGATGCAGTTAATTTAAGGGAGTTTGAAGACAGGCTCAATAAATATTTGAATGATAAGAGCTGAATTTAAATGTTTTATTTTTAAAGTTTAGTTTAGTGGATTAAACGGCCTAAATTGAACAACAGGTCCCATGTTTTCCTTACAATACATATATATATATTTGTATGTTTTATAGTACACTTGTAAAGTTTTGTCTATTTATTTTTTACATATTTAGCAGTTTCTGCCAATAAGAATGTTTTTATTTATTTACTATATCTTAAAACACCTGACTTTCAAGTACTTGCATTATAGCATCTCTTCTCCCTCCTGTCTATTAACCTCTTGTCACCTTTGGTAAACTCCTGCTTCTCGTCAGCCATCACTGTTTTCAAATTAAACTGCACATTCTTGAATTTGCCTGTTATACTACCTCCATGGACTTCCACATACTGTTCTGCCAGCTTGATCATCTCGTTTATGTCTTTTGGTGCTCTCTCCTTTAGGAATAGTGGCATGTGAGTTGAACACGTGGTCATGAACTGTTCACGTACTAATAGGTCTGCCAGTCACTCAAACTATCTTCACACATGGCCATGTCATTCCATCTGGTGAAATATCGCTGCAGACGTGTCACAAACTGAAATACAGTTTCTCTAGTGTCGGGTTTGACTCCCCTGAACTTCCAACGAAAACCTTCTTCAGTAAG